TGTAGTGGTAGGATGGGATAGAAATCCATGCAGGGATGTCTTTAAGTGCTCTGATAAACCTTTTTAGACTTAAAGCCAACAAATCATATGATACATGCATCTACCCATGTATTGAGAGTATTAATATGGGTCTTCACTCTTAAACAATAATAAAACCACATTTGCAATATTCCTATTTAGAAGTTAAAACATCTCCAACACATAGTAACAATATCTTAAGAGAACAGATAAACCATATATAATGCAATAAGTTTGTAATCAAAATGTAATCAAAATGATTTAAACTCTCTTTGAAACTGCAAAACTGGAAATTTTCGTCGAATTTTGTTAAAACATGAATAATTTTAAATTGCTTGTTTTTCGTCAATATTACTTAAATTTCCAAATAAAAAAATTTGAGTGTCACAAAATGTTTCAAGTTAAAGTATGCCGAATTTTATAAGCGAACTCTTTTTGGATATTTTTCTACAATACATCAAAGTAGGCGACAAAATTGTGTGTGGGGTACTTTATAGGGTGTCTCAAAAAAATGTACCCAAAAGTATATCACCAGAATAGACAAACCAATCAATATTTTCAGACATTTCTTGCATGGTCTTGCAGTCAAAACATGAAAGTTTTTCCACTATACACAGTTTTTAATTCAGTTTTGCCTTTTTGATACTTTAACACTTTATCTTTTACACCACATAATCAATGTAATCTCATATTTCGATGACAGTCTGCATCCTTACAACTACATTGTTCATCACATTTGATATTTCTGGTGGAATGTTTTGATTTATGTTTGGATGCTGGTTTTAAGTTGTTCTAGGTCTCTTAGCTTGGGTTTAGCATAAAAATTGTCCTTCAAATAGCCCCAGAGAAAAAAGTATGGGCCGTCAAATCTGGTGAATAGGGAGGCCCTCAAGATGTCTTATAGTCCCCTTATACAGAGAGGTCAGATGTTCAAGAAACTGCATTGGTTGGGATTCTAGTGTAGCTTTTGTTGTGTGCAGAGGGGCTCAATTTGAGACCACTGTGTTTTCATTAGGATATCATTTGGTCTCCAGGCTAGCCTGCGTAAGTCTGGAAGGTAACTCCTGAATCATTTGCGGATAATTGACCTCATCCTCTTAAGGGCAACATCCAAAGAGAAATCCAAAACATTCCACCAGAATTATTATCAAATGTGATGAACAATATAGCAGTAATAAGGATACAGGCTGTCATCGAAATATGAGGTTACATTGATTATGTGGTATAAAAGGTAAAGGGTTAAAGCATCAAAAAGGCAAGACTGAAATAAAATGGTGTTTTGGGGAGAAAACTTTCATGTTTTGGCTACATGATCATATAAAAAATGTCTGAAAATATTGATTGGTTTATCTATGCTGTTGATATACTTTTGGGTACATTTTTTGAGACACCCGATATAATGACATCGCTGGATAGAAGATTACATGATGCAATGCTTAAACACCACAATGGTCACTCCATGCATGAAGTCGATTTTCATTGGATTATGATTTGACATTGGTTGTTCACTTATTCAGTTAATCACCCACTGAAATATTTTCAGATGGAAAAAATGAATAGATTGTGCAATGTTAAATTCTAATTGGAATTTTGTTATCTAGCTTTAAAAACTAAATAAACTGAGGAAAAAATCATTTAATCAAAAATTCATTTTGGACAGAGGCATTCCATTTGCAACATATTACTGTTTTGTGTATAACAATTTTTTTATTGCAAATTATAGCAAAAATGGTCATTCCTAATGCATTGACATATACTTTAGTATTGTCGTGTTAACAAAAAATTTGATTTAATGTCCGGCCAAAGGCCTTTGGACAATCAACATGTGGCAAACAATCCACTGGGTTAAACTGTATACTGAAAGGTTTAATATCTGTTAAAAGCACAATCAGAGTAACCCCCCCCCCCGATGTTTCGGCTCTAAAATGTGTATAAGAAGTTGCCTTATCTACTTATCATTTTGAGGCCTCAACTAATTTGTAACGATCAATTTGATGATTGTTCACAGATATTACGTTTCTACTGGCTAATAATAAAGAGATTTTTTTGAACCACTACACATTTCTTATACCTTTCAGCATAACCCTTACTTATATTTCTTACTTTTAAGGGTTTCGTAATATAAATAAAACGACTGTATGATGTTTTAGACTAATTGCGTTTTATTTATTTTTTCAATTATATGTTATATTTATTACTTTCAAGAGTTTCGTAATATAGATAAAACGACTGTATGGTGTTTTGGGCTAATTGCGTTTTATCCAACAGTTGGTGGTTCTGTTGATTTTTTCATTATATCGGTGAATCTGCGGCCTCAGTGTTCTCAAGATATATCTTAGGTATGCAAAATATTGTATGAGAAATTATAATGGGACATCACTGATTTTCTGGGGGAGAAACCTAGGCGACACTGCCTCTTTAACGTTTAAAAATTGTTTCAAAAATCTCCTAAATTAAATTCCAATGAATATATCCAAGACATCATGATATTAATTTATTTAGTGTATTCAAAGTTCTTTAAGACAGCATTTACATATTAACCAAAGGTACGGATGTAAAGAACAACCCACTAGAGAAACTTAGTGAACTCCCATCTATACGAGTCCTGACTCCTATTGGTCAAGTTATTTATACGAATGTATCTTCCTCTTCTTGATTTTAATCCATACGTTATGGACTGCAGTATGCCAAATAGTATCACTTGTGAGTATCAGTGAAGGTAACGGTTGTCGCCGTCGCATTTAAGATGGCGGACGGGAAGTGTTGATTTCGATATTTTTAGTTTTTATCGAATTAAACTACTTCACAGTTGATGTAGTTCTATGATACAGGGTGACCCAAAAAAATGCAACCCTCCATTTCTTCAATATTTTTCTTAAATGGAGGTGAATTGCTCTGAAATTTGGCACACACGGACTTCATTCAATGTGGAATCCTCTGGCAAAGTTTAAATAATCAGAGTCTTATATTAATAGAGTTATGGTCGTTCCAAAATATGCTCCAAATGTCGTCCATTTCCAATGTTAGGTTTTCGGAAGAATCACATTCCCTTCTTTCTGAACATGTAAACTCAAGAAATAATGTGTTCTGGGATCACAAATTCAAGATGAAGTGCTTCAAAGGCCCCTTCATTCTGTTAAATGCACAGCTTGGGCTGCCAATTTCCAAACATGAAATCATCAGCCCCGTTTGGTTTGAGGTTGATAATGGCAACACTGTTACTGTTAACACACAGCGCAATATTGGCATTCCCAGGAAGTTCTAGGCAGTTCTAGAATGACATACAGGCTTCAATAGACAAGAACAGTGATTCTAGAAGGATGGGGCTACTCCTCACACTTCTTATGATAGCATAGCCTGGCTCACTAGTCATTTCTATGATGAGATTACCTCTCCTAGGATGGAGAACCCATGGTCATCCCACAGTCTTGATCTCAATGCCCCTGACTTCTATATATGGGGTTATTTAAAGGATAATGTGTATGAAAATAACCCTACTGCAATTGCAGAACTCCAACAAGCATTCCTGCAAAAATTTGAGCCATACCCATGGGGAAGAATGCATCCGTGTTATGAACAGTTTTCCTTGAACATTGCAAGTTTGTTTTCAGCGAAATTGACGATATATGGAGCATATTTTGAAACAACCATAACTCGATCAATATAAGACTATCGTTATTAAAACTTTGCCAGAGGATCCCACATTGAATGAAGTTCTTGTGTGCCAAATCTCAGAGCAATTTATCTCCATTTAAGAAAAATATTGAAGAAATGGAGGGTTGCATTTTTTTGGGTCACCCTGTATTTGAACTAAATTCGATATATACAGGGTGTCAAAAAACAACGGCACCCCCCTCTACAGCAAAACGTCCTGAATGTTCCATATCGTGTCATACCTCATTTGAAAGATAATTTAATTCTGGAGTTACTCATCAAATTTCATTTAATAAAACTTAATATTAAAAAAGCTATATTGTTTCAAAGTTTGCTACTTCGGCACTTTGTTTGCTGCTCTGTTACTGGTTAAAAGTAAAATATTCAGAAAGTGAAATATGAAAGAATTACTCCAGATTTCAACTGCACTGAACATATGGGTTCATTTCTGAAAAACAGGGTATAGGAACTGATGGACAAAGAGCCTCTTGAAAAAAGACACAGTAAGGATGTACTTCTGAAGAATGTGAAGAAAGAGCGAAGAGGATTATGCAATGCTACACCTTTATGTGAATTTTTATTGAAATCATATCCGTCCAGATAAGGTGCTGTTTGAGCAGCAACTGGTGATCATACCAACTACTAAGAATCAGCTGTAAATCTGTCAAATTATATGATATAAAGCTGAAATTTCTCAGGTAACTCCAGAATTAAATTGTCTTTAAAATGAGATATGACACACCATGTAACATTAAGTACTTTTTGCTGTAGTGGGGGGTGCCGTTGTTTTTTGACACCCTGTACATTCCAGTAACCTTCCTTAAGCGGTGGGAGATATCATGGAACTGTGGCGCTCAAGCACGATATATGAACAAATGACCAACCCCCAGAGTTTTCACGTCATAGAAGTCTGATTAAGTTCAAATATCAAAGCTTTGCGTTGACTAAAGTAGTTTAATTCGATGAAAACTCAAAATATCGAAATCGACCCTTCCCGTCCGCCATCTTAAATGCAAAGGTGGCGGTCGTAACCTTCGCTCGATACTAACCAGTGAGTATACCAACCCTTTAAATGTAATTATAAGTTAATTATAGTAATGAATGAATTTTTAAAAACATGTATGTATAAGTCGGAAAATTAAAAGCCATTACACAATTTAAGTATCTACAAATACAATGATTCTAAAGCGAATTGCATGTATAATAAGTGAACTTATTGACTGTAATCATCTTATCGAATTAGAATGAATTAATGTTGGACATCCTTCAGAACGATCATCCAAGTCAGTCCATAAAATCATGCAAACATCGAATTGTTTTATAAACTGCTAAACATCGTTGCTCTCCTTGATATTAGCGAGAATATGTTCGCCATTCTCAATGATACCATTACAGTTATAATCCCAGATTGGGACTTTCCCAACAACCGGCACATCGAACATCGCGCAGCAAAGCTTTGCATAGAAGTTCATATTGGTGAACTTCTCGTCACAATCAGGTAGGGTATGCTCGGAGAAAATATAAGCCCCTGGAGGTAGGATTTCTCCGTTGTATCGTTCGCAGTATGCTTGTCCCAGTCGTTGTTCTCTCGGTCCCCATGGTGTGTCGGTTACTAAGTTACGGTACAATCCTTCTGTTCCCCAATATGACCTTGCTTTCGAGACACATTCTCTCGGACATGCTTTCAACATGTGTAGACAACCTTCACAACCTGATTGTAGATATTGATATCGAGTTCCCAGGTCCTCTACAGAAAAATCCACTTCGCATGTGTCTTCGCTGATGTTGTTCTGGTGAATTTTACTGCCTTCACCGTCACTGTGCGTACAGCTGGTTGAGTTAACCCTAATGTTGATGCCACACTCACACCTTCTTAATTAAAACACAAAATAAACTTTGTAAATGATGATTTTTTTCAAAATATGCAAATATGTTTAACAGTAATGTTATTTAGACTGATGTTCTAGCTTAGCCCAATGTACAAAACATTTTGGTCAAACATTTTTGAATGAGGTAGATTGTTGATGTTCACCCAGTACATTGGGACTAGAACAAATCGAATTACCGCATGTATAATCCTCTTACCTGTATATCCATCGAATAGGTCTATATGTTGACCGTATCGTCCAAGGCTGTGTTGTTGTTGTTGGTCGTGTTTGTCTATATGCTGTTGTCATCCATGCCCAATCCTGTGTTGTAGGCTCTTCTGGTCCATTTGTCTGTGTTTTCCACTCTTCTGTTGAATATGGCTGGTATTCTCCTTCTGTTGTAAGCTCTTCTCTTGTTGTCGTCTGCTCTTCTCTCAATGTTGTTGGTCCTCTCGTCGGCCATGGCCAATCTCCTGTAACATGAGATGTATGATGTACAAGGGCCGATCGAAAAGTTTCTTACCGTTGGTTCTAGATTTTATAATAAGAGGAGTTGGATGCTCAAACTTTACATAAGACAGGGTAGTAAGTTTGCTTGAGACTGTCCGTGTTTCATTCAAATTGGTTCATTGGTAGTGTCACAGAGTCAATACATATTTTCAATGATTGAATTAGGTGGAGCAGCGTTTTTTATTTAAAAAATGGGCTAAGCTGCAGTTTTGGAAATTTCTAACACTAAGTAGTGTCATCTGTTAACAGACTGTAGTTTAATCTCGTTTAAAGTGTCTTTCTAAGACTTAGAAGGAGAAATGTGAGATTTCGAGCCAAATGTCTCAAGAAAATGCTCTTACCTTTCTAGTAGGATGAGTTCAGGTGCCAAAAACAGCTGATCAAAGGATATATATCATCTTCTAATTGAAAATTTTTGTTGAGCCCTCCATTTTTAACACTGTTTTGACAGGAAGTCATACCCAAAATGAAAACTGAATAAAACAAGATTTATCCTAAATGTAGATCAAAATACTTACTCAGACATGCAAAATATTATTATTAGTAGTAATGCTGATCATTTTTAAGAAAGTTAAGCATGCAAATAAGACTTTTTTCATCCATGATTATATAGATAAAGAATTTCTGCCATTAGGAAGCTTTGGCAGTTTGGTGTAGTGGTTAGAGCTTTGGGCTCAAACAGACTTTTATTCCAAAAGATCTGGGTTCAAATCCCTCCGGTGGAATATGTTTTTATTCTTTATTTTTGTTTTTTTTAATTTTGATCCACAATATTTCTAAAATAAATTTTTATATATGGCACTTAAACCATATTTAGTATTTTCAAGGGTTTTAATTTTTAGATGAAATCATAGAAAGTTACTTTAAATAGTTTTTTTCCGCTAATATTCATTCCCATTCAAAATATTCAACCCCAGTTGCAATGCACTTCCTATATCTGTCCACTCAATCCAAAAACACATGTTTAAGGCCTTCGTATGAGCGGTTTGAAACGATGTCAGTAAATTTCCAGAACCACAATTCAGCAGATATTTTATATATAACGCTGCTCCACCTAACTTAGTCATTGAAAATATGTATTGACTCTGTGTCACTACCAATGAACCAATTTATATGAAACTCGTACAGTTTCAAGCAAACTAACTATCCAGTCTTATGTTAAAGTTTGAGCTTCCAACTCCTCTTATTATAAAATTGAGAGCCAACGCTAAGATACTTTTTGATCGACCCTTATCGACCCTTGTATAACTTGTCGATCTCGTTCTATTATTTGCTTTTCCAAAGGTCCAATACAAGTTTAAACTTTGGCTTACATTGTAGTCTTACCCAATGCTATCAAAATTTGCTCCAAAATCGTGAATTTATCTAAAACTAATAAAGGACCACGGGAGGTATCGCAGCAGATTTCAGACAGTCATTTGTTGGATTTAGGCAATTTTCTGAGGATTTGAACAGGTGCATATGCTAGGCCAATGCATGATCTCCAGGACAAGCACTCGTAGGGATGATAAAATAATTTGTAATTCAAGACAGGGAATTTGCAATTAGCCCACCAACATGTTTTTTCTGAAAAAAAAAACATTTCAGAAAAACTTTCTGTTGGGGTAGTTCCACCTTCCCTGTCTCAAATCTGTGAATGTTTGATCTGGAGGTTATGAATATGCCAGAGGTTCCACATGTTAAAATCCTCAGAAAATAGCCAAAATCCAACATATGACTGTCTAGAATCCGTCAATGAATAAAATTTTCCACAATAAGATTTTCAAAATCACACTCTATGAATTAATCTGAAATAACCACCAATTAATATATCTACAGTATTACGTTGTCGCTCCTATTCATCCTGAATGCTTTAAAAAATGGTCCAAATGATGTTCATATTCTAAGACAAGCTTAGTTATATTCACCTGATATTTTCCTAGTTTCCAAACCTGGTATTATCCAGGCTAGTGCAATCAACAGAAATATCTGTATAAATCTTGATCGATCCATGGTTCCACTTGTCGCTATGAAATGAATATTGTTTTATTTTGTCGGTGAATATTTTTGGGGATCCGGGACGGCCTAAAAATAAATCGTTGGTGTATTTAGTTTTGCCAAATAGGCTAACCTTGGTTAAATGTATTTTTTAAAGATGCATTTACTGTCATTCTTCAGATTAATTAGCCTAGAGACTCTTTCAATACCGGACCAGATATTTTGGTAAGAAATTTAATTGATAACCTTTTTGTCCTGGAATACCAGATCCGCCATAATTTCTCGGTACATCGTTTTTAAAATACATGTAAATTTTGACGTTAAGTGGGACACAAGAACTCTTACTCAAAGTACGCTATTGTCTCTTATCAAAAGATCGAGAGTTGAACTTGTTGTATCGGTGACATAATGTGTAGGACTTTTCAACTTTAACGGTCTATGTAAATCTTTCCTTCAAATACAGTCATAGTCAAACATATCCATACCTCGATATTAGGAGTTCATGCTTGCGTCTAAAATGATACACCAACCTATACGAATGACCAATCGCCCATACAAATGCATCGCTTGAATATTTTCCGTTCGGGTTTAGGTTGTGAAAAACATTGCAAGCTTAAACTCCCTAATTTTGCCCAAAATCCTAATACTGTGTCACTCTATTGTACACTAAAATAATGTTTGAATGAAGGTAAAAAAGAAAACGGACTATCAACTTCAGTGGTAGCCATACTAGTATTCATATACAACCATTAATGACCATAATATATACAACCATTAATGACCATAATATATACAACCATTAATGACCATAATATATACAACCATTAATGACCATAATATATACAACCATTAATGACCATAATATATACAACCATTAATGACCATAATATAAACCATTGTTCAGAATGGATCTGTGGACAAAACAACTAAAGAATATGAAAAATCTGTTAAAACATTAGTTCCTTTGAAGCATAGGATCAAATCCTACGCTAAGGGCTGGTGTGAAAAAGCCACTCCTCGGTGGGGATTGAGTCGAACCAAATACCCCCCCCCCCCCCCATTAGATCTCGAATGATTAGATTGTGAATGAAAATTGACAAGTTATCTCAAAAATTGTTGACCTACTTTTTGTTAAAAAACAAAACTTTTCTGAAGTGTTAATTGAATAAGGTTTACAACAATACCAACAATATTGAAATCTGATAAGTAATGAAAATCGCAGATGTGTCATAAAAAAGGTTGCAGACATTGGGGTTACCATGTTTACAGTTAACACCATTTACAATATTGATCAGTGTTAACTCTGGGATGACAAAATATGGCTGTTTTCGAAACCTCTGTGTGGCTGAAAGTATGACCTTCCATTTAAAAAGTAAGGACCACAATATCTTATTGTAAATTAATATCCCTAAATACATTAAGTATCCATACGTTAAAAACATACTCAAAATCTAAGTTATGTGGTTTTTATTGTTCTTCCCTAGTGATCTGTAAACATCTGATTCTGGGCATGTGTTTCTCAATAAAAATGTGTATGATGATCCGTACTGTATGCACCTTAACTCCGTCGCTTTGACTTCAATTTTAAGTCGTTTACGTAGTGCAAGAACTCACATTTCAGAACATAAACGTTTACTAAAAAAGATATATTGTAATAAATATGCATTTTCTAAACAATACAGATTCGTGTTTAATGAAAGGTCCATGTGCAGTAAGGCAAGTGATTTTAGACGGACATATCTTTCACCATGAGTACTTTCTGGGCATAAAAACAGTGGTTTTTATTAAAACAATATGTTTTCTTTCAAGTGAAGTTCCCGTGATAGTAAAATATTAATCTAACTCTCTGAAAAATTATGGTTTAGGACCCCATCTGGGCACTTTAAAAAATGTTTGGCTTATTTTCTAAAAAGTGGGTCTTGTTTTTCTCGATTTAGCCGTATCGAAAGTTTCTTCTACTTACTTTTCTTCTATTTACAACTTCTGAAAAGGGGATTGGTATTGAAATGCGTTAAAGTTAAAAAACACATATCTTTGTTAATAATAACTTAAGTTCATTTACTTCAGAAACATTTCTTTGTTATTTTCCATAAGGAAAACTCGTGCTTGCCATTGTTTTCAGCATAATTCTGGTCATCGAAAATTGATATCTTCAAAACTAGACTTTCAATACTATTCTACTTTTGAAGAAGTTTTAGACCCCTTTTTGAATAATCTTTTCATGCAATAAAAATCAGAAAAACAAGATTCTCTTTTTGGTAAATTAGTTCAACATTTTGAAAAAAAATGTATTCATAATTTTTCGATATGTTCGATTGATATATTTATCATCATTCTTGATACTTCACTTGAAACAAAACATATTGTTTTAATAAAAAACCACAGTATTTATGCCCAGAAAATACTCATGGTGAAAGATATGACTGTCTAAAATCACTTGCCATTCTGCACACGGACATTTGTGCATATTAATAGTATCATACATATTTACAATAAGCTATATCCATAAGTGGATTACTTATGAAAATCTGAATATGTGATGGAATATAGATGTCACTATATTTCAGAATGAACCACTATTTTATCATTGTATGTAAACCCAACTTAACAAAACAATTATCATAGATCACTGTTATAACTATTATAGATAGTATAGTACGTAAATACATAGGGATGAACCATTAGATCAACTGGTCTATCAATCATTAGTTTTTAGAGCAAAATACTTTCGGTCTAAATATTAAACAGAAACATATTTTATATTGAGTGATGGATTAAATTATTCCTGTAGCAATGGCGGATCTGGGGGGGGGGGGGCTGGGGGCCAAGAAAAAAAATCGGGCCCAAAATAATTTGGGCTAAAAAAGCCTTAAGGCCCCAAAAAGTGGGCCTCATAATTATTTCAGGCCAAATTTTGGCCAAAAATGGGCCTCAAAATTTCAAAATTTGGGCCCACTTTGGGGTTTTAGGGGCACAATCTTTTTCTCGCCCCCCCCCCCCCCCCCCCCTCCCTTGTTGGTTCCCAGATCCGCCCCTGTGTAGCATGACTTCTTTTTCTATACATACTATTATTCTTTGATTGAATTGCATTTAATTGAAATATTTCGTCGGGGCAATATTAGATCCCACTAAATGGTCCATCCGAAATAGATACATGTACTTGTACAAGTATTATAGAGTAACTATTTCTTTGTTCTTTGACACTTCTATCACATTGGAACATGTAGTTTCTCACATATATACACCAAACAATGCATAATATATACATGTATATATAGGATAGTGTACTACATACAGGTCAGTTAATTTTTTGAACATGAGACGGATTAAACTTGGTACAAGAATTGTGGATTATCCCTCGGATGATCTCAAGCAGTTGGAAGATTCTAATCATTTATTGGATAATGTTGAAGCATTGAAAGCAGAACTCCAATCAAAAGGGTATGTAGTCTAGTCTAGAGGTGAGTCCAATACGAGTTTATCCTTTGTAAATACAGTGAATGTGTTGTATATATTTCCATGTTACCACAACTAGCCAAGCTTTCTGCGGGATAAAACCCGGGGATAAAACCAATATCCAAAATGTACTCTATCATACAAAATGTGCAGAGCCACCTTGCTTGTCAGCTACTTTTCTGTATTATATTGCTCATTTTGCACCTGTTAAACCTGTAAGATAACACTGCTTTTCACGTAATGAGGCCTTCTCATTTTATAGCCCATGGGCTATTTATTGAAAGTACTCTCTATATTGACTTGTACCGAAATAAAGCTTTTGTTGTTACTGCAGGTATATCTACATAAAAGGTCTCCACGACAGACAGGAAGTGTTGGACGCACGATTGGCAGTGCTTGACTATATTCGTAATCTGGGGGAGGGTAAACTAAAGGAAGGAACAGCCTGGGAGCAAGGGGTCCTTGATGAGAGATGTGGGTTTGGGTGTGTACCGTACATGGAAGTAGGTAGTATTGAACTTAAAAAACTAAATATATGTATCTAATAACTAAGGAAAATCGGAATTAGGGATGATTATGCATCGAATCAATTTTAACAGAAAAAATGCCCCGTACTGAGAACATTGTGCTGCTCCAATACAATAAAAAGATGGCGCAGTTAACGGTATGTTCCATGACTTGAAGCTTTGGAGATAAACCTTAGATTGAGCTAATTGTTACCTATTGTAATTGATTATATGAGAAATAAATTTGATAACATGAAAAAACTTGAAGCTTTCAAAAACATTCAATACTGAATAAGTTCGAGAGCGTGTTACTTGTCAACTAGACATTTATTATTTTTTAGGGAAGGAATGACGTTACTCACAGTGAGGCTGTATCAAAGGTCATCGAAGGTCATCGACGTAAGTTTTTTTTATATTTTTTAATGAGACGTTTTTAAAAAATTGTACATTAATTTAGTATTTGATGTTTTGACCCCGGAGACTCTTGTCTCGATTGGCTTCCAGTGTTCAATCTCTTGCCCAAAAACTTAAAAGAAACATCGCGTTCGTCCAAAATGTTAGTAATTTATTTCTCTCAGAATTTATCATGTAGTTTTTTTCAGCATTCGAATTCTTCAAGAAGCTGTTCGGGGAAGATGCTAAAACATTTGACTTCAAATGGCTGAGGTATAATGCACATTTTCACTAATCACGCTCAACATTTGACGTCAAATTGTTAGGTGAAAAACACATTTTCACTAATCACGTTCAAAATTTCAATTCAAATGGTTAAGGACTGTGTAATACACACGTTCAGTAATCACGTTCAACATTTGACTTCACATGATGGTCAAAGTGTAATGCACATTTTCACTAATCACGCTCAACATTTGACGTCAAATTGTTAGGTGAAAAACACATTTTCACTAATCACGTTCAAAATTTCAATTCAAATGGTTAAGGACTGTGTAATACACACGTTCAGTAATCACGTTCAACATTTGACTTCACATGATGGTCAAAGTGTAATGCACATTTCACTAATCACGCTCAACATTTGACTTCAAATGGTAAAGGTGTGATACACATTTTCACAAATCCCGCTCCACATTTGTCTTCACGTGTTAGTTAAGGTATAATACCCAATTTCACTGATAACGCTCAACATTTGACTTCAAATGGTTAAGATGTAATACACATTTTCACTTATCACGCTCAACATTTGACAAGATAGTCTGCTTGGGTTTGGTGTCTTCTTAATAGGAGTTCCATATTATTTACCTACGAAGAAGATAAATACGTAAGAAAATCAAAGGGATTGGTCTATAAAAAGTATATGTGTAAAAAAGTGTCCTTTGCCTTATTGATTGCCTCTCGTAGGTACATTACTCATTTAGCAATCTCCTCATAATAATGCTTCGCATCTCGCTTGATTTGTTAGAGTTTTAATGTTTCAATTAACAAAGCAATGAAATAGAATTCGGACTTTGCATTATCAACAGTTACATGTTCAAAAAGTACCAGTGGACATTAATAATTAATGTAATGAATTAAATATGTTATGACTTGATACGATACGATACGTAAACAAAAACATCAACTTGGGTAAATAATTATTTCTGAATCATCAATTTTCATTTGCATACCATCCTCGTTGAACTAATATACCATTACTCCGACTCACTAGAGGAATACACAGAGAGGCATTTAGCGGGGCCCACGTGGACAATGTTTACATGAGTCGGGGAACAGACCAACTCTACACCATGTGGACCCCCTTAGGGGATGTAGACATAGAGATGGGAACACTGGCCATGTGTGAAGGCTCTAATCACTTACCAGGGTGAGTGAATGGATATATGCAAATAACTCAAAGGTCTCCAACTCATTATCTCATGGTTACGGCGACAACGCATAGTCCAGTGCTCTAGATCCATCGGCCAACTCGATACACTGACTAAAACCGGAGTTCCTTCGAAGAATTTTGATCTCGATCAAAAATATAGCAAAAGATCGAAGGAACTCTAGTCAGTGCATTCAGAACCATTTAAGAAAGCTCTGATTCTAACACATAAAATGTGATAACGTTTGTGAATTAACATCATATTTTGACACGATCTCTAACCACATAAAATCAAACCTTTTCATGAAATCAGTTCAAGAATACATTAAAGAGAAAACTGAAATGTAAAGTTTTGATAGCTGTTTAAAAACTTAAAGTCGTTCTTTTATGTGCTACCCTTTTGAAAACAATGCCTAATTTTAGTAAGCATTGTCTCCGTTTAGGTACAGTCACTTCCAGGATACGTATGGCAACTGTGATATAGAAAATATAGGACTTGAAGGTACATGTACATACAATTATGTATCGGGTGCACTTTTAGGACATATAATTTGGTAAACTGTTGAAGGACACTTTTGGGGTTTCTCTGTCTGGGTAACTATTTGAACAACACTGCCAAAACGCACTGTTGTGGCAGATTGCTAGCATACTGTTTGGTCAGACTGGTTTTACCCCGTCGAGGTACTGTATACTGTTTGGGAACACTTTTGGGCATGACGATAGCGTACACTGCTTTAGCACATTGTGTAAGATAGCGGGTGCACTGGTAGAAGAGCAGTGCTGATGATTACCTTTAGAGCATCATTCACGGGTTCGTAGTAGAAACAGTTCAGGCCCGTAGCCGGGGGGGGGGGTTCCCAGGGTTCGGGCGACCCCCCCCCCCCCCCCCCCGCTCCTGGCCAAAAATTCTTTCAAAATCATGCAGGTTTTCACCATTTTGAGCACTTCTCAAGTGATTTAAGCCATATTTGGGCCAAAATTGTCAAATTGTCAAATAGAAACCGACCCCCCCCCCTGGCAAATCCTGGCTACGGACCTGAAACTTAAACCTTTATCCCAATATGATACGACATTTATACAAGATGAAAAGAACCTCTAAAACTATATAAAAAATAATGTTTATTAATTAAATAACTCGCTTTTAAAGGTACTGGTTGGTTCACGACGGACCCCTTTGAGATTAGCAAACAGTTTGGGGGACAGTGGAAGACAACAGACTTCAAAGCTGGGGACGCGATTATATTCACCATGAGGTACGAATAAAGAATGAAGGAAAAAGACATTTAGACTCAGATTCAGATTTAGAGTTCTTAATTTTACTTAACATAAGCTGGACGATCCTCATTTATATCAGGCATAGATGTTTCTATAGCCATGTCCAAGCAATGGCTTATTTAATACCCGGGGCTTAGTTGTGTACCAAACGAAACGACACGACAGTATTTTTTTTACTTATCCTTGTCGTAATAGAAATCAAGATATACAAGTAAAAGAGACCGACTTGTGCAAGGCTAATGTTCCTTGTACAGTGAAGTTCAAATTTGCTACCTACGCTCTCAACATTGTATCAAACCAATGTAAATGATGGATTAGAATTAAGATTATATCATTACCAGGCATATAGTATAAAATTGTATACTTCTTAAATGCTTGAAGTAAAACAGACCCTGGGGACCCGTCTCTTAACACACAACCCAAGGTAAGCCGAGAAAAGGTGGGCCCGCCAAAAAATTTAGATTTGGGGCATGAACTCATGAATACATTTTTACATTTCAGGACTGTCCACATGTCGTCAGTTAACAGCACAGAGAAGCTCAGAATTAGCTGTGACACAAGGTTTGTATGTACACCCACTCCAAAAGGTTCGAAAAACGGAAGTCCCCATGGAAAACCGTAAACATGTCTCATGAACACTTATTTGATAAGAATAGCTCTCGATGTTGACTCTTTTTCTCGCTCCCAATTTTTATATCACCTACAAAAAATCATACACATCAAGAAACCTTTAAATGCGAGCACTTGTTCATCTTTTCACCAAAGCACTTAAATTATGGGCTGTTCAAAGAATGTTCGAATAAGACAGGTTTTAGTATGTGAACGTATTTTTCTGATAATAATACCATTATCTAATATCCAATTCATTTTAAATGCAAAGGCTTTCTCGCATATGAACGAAAAAAACGACGTCAACTTGCGAACATAACTTGGGTAAAATTCGTTCCCATTAGTGGGAAGATACATACATGGGAATCCCCGTGTTGGGGTGTTCGTATTTGGGAGTACCTGTTCGAAAAGCTTCGGACGGCTTTGGAAGCATGCGGAAAGTTGGGCGTAGGTTCGCATGTTAACGTTTTCATTTGCCAGAATTGATAATTTACCCAAGTCGTTAATATGTGAGGAGGCTTTATGGCTCGTGATAAGTGCTTTTTACTAGTTCCAAACATGATTTTTAAACAAACACAAAATAAACAAGGCATTGATGGGCAAAATCTAACCACCAGCCATTTGTTACAGACGCCGCTAAGCGCTGAACGCCGAACACAAACCGACGGCCGAACTCAAAAAATGGAGATTATATTAACCACTTACTGAAGTGATATAAAAATGTCTAGTCTGTTTTGTATTTCGCTACTTATTTTAACATTTTTTCATATACGAGAATAAATTATAAAACACCATATTCCAGGTGGCAGCCAGCTAGTCAGAGCGCAGACCCTAGATATGTTGGTAACGAGTTCCACTTGAAGGGAGCCTTTGGCCTGGCAGGCATAGACGAGGGACGCAATAAGAAAAATGTTCCAACTATTGACATATTGAAAAAACAATGGGGCTTTCCCTTGGCTATGGCTTAGGTTTGGCCGAGGGCCTGTAGAAAGACAAACTCAAAGGGAAGTGTCAACACGAGACGAGCAAATAAACATCTGATATTGACGAAAATGAGATCCTGCATTTTTATAACTTATTCCATAATTATTGGTATTATAGCCTAAAAATGACATAAAGAAATTGACATAAAGATATAAGCATGTGGATCTACATTACCTTGAAAAATTTTGAAGGCAAGAAACTGCCTCATGGAACTGACTCGAGAATTAGACAGAAAGATTGTAGTTCTAAAGAAAGATGGCAGCGTAATCGCTGTAGTTACAATTTATACATCATCTCTACAAATACATTCAATCTTTTTCAATATAAAAACGGTAAAATGCTCCAGTGCTTATACTTCCAAATACGCGCAATAAACATCAAATGTGCAAGTTCTATATACTGTATATGCAGAATTCACAAAAATTCCATTGGATTATATTGAAAAATAAAAATATTACAGAGATATTATGAGAACTTTATAATATACCCTCGTATACTATTAGAAATGTCTGGGGGTATAAGACTGATATGTACATGTCCATTTGGTTGATATGAAAACGATATGAAACTACAATTACACACATTTATTCATATTTTCAAATATAAGCCAAGATAAGTTCAACACGTAAGGTTATTTTAAAAATAGTTCAGGTTACTGGTGTCATGGTGTAAGAAAAAATCTCGTTCTGCATCCAATGGACCATGGAACTCCCATCGTAAGGACGACATATTTCCAAATTCCTCAAAATCTTATTTTTTGTAAAAAGAAGTAAGATGTTTCACCACACGGAAAGAAGTTGTTGGTCTCTTTGAAAATAGACAGATATGGAATGATAGGACCAAAACATATTGCGAAATTGAGACATTTTTTCAAAACTTACGGCGACGTATTTTATTGTATTTTCTTGATGAAACCATATCTTTCAATTAATTAACATAATTATTATGATACAAAAATAAGGTTTTCAGTTTAACATTTACAATATAAACTATGGATAGCTGTTCGAATTCCAAAACAATGTTTAAGTTTCTGATTACACATTTTTCAATATGCCATTTTCCCAAATCCTTTTGCTCATCAGTATATATTAATTGTACCTCTTTCAGTTTACCTACTCCATACATTTTTGATGGGGAGAAACGTGTTAAACATTGCGATAACAATTACAAACCACTTATATTCTAAAATAGACAAAACACACAAAGATAGTACTAACATCCCTATAAACTCATCCCTATACAATAAAAACGAAACATTATAACGTCTAAAATAGCAATCCCTATTGTGACTGGATTTAATGTTCCAAAACGTAAAACATAAATGTGCACATCGGATGGATATGACCCCTAGGCAAGTATATGAACCTGCTTAAAAATAATCGAGTTACTTTGAAGAATCTTGAAAACTGTGAAAGACGCGGCGCAATTTGACAGAGGAATTATTTCCCGCTGTGTTTTGAGTACGAATCCGCTGGTTTTGACCGCCGGGAAATCGTGTAATATGAGCCATTTCGGTATGTTTGCTCGATGGGGAATCTCTTTGAATCCATCAATGAAACTATCGAAATTTCCCCCATGTCCTTTTAGAGATCCTGTTGTTTTTCAGGTATGGTGTCCATGTAGTGAGGTGGGTCATTTATCCGCATTTACTACGTTCAATATTTTAATGGTATTTTTCTTCTATAAACTTGTTTAAGAGAATGAAAATCTTGCTTTCAACAACCTGGCGAGAATGTCCGTATTTGAGATTACATTTAAACAAACTCTGTCATACACCTTTTAAATTGTCACATTTTATTTTTACAATATTTTCGTTGTCATTTTTATCCATCCACTGGGATAGGACACATAGAGACAGAGATAAAAATTGAGAAATTAACTTACAATCCTCAAACTCAAAGGTTTTACTATAAACTTACACTCCCTTCCATAAATATGGCAAAACTAACTACTCTATTGGCAACGTGCTAATCATATTTGGCGATTAAAAATCAGCACTGAATTTGTCGAAAATTCCCTATCCGATATAATCAAGGACAATGGAAAAATTCAAAAATAAATAGGCTTTAACAAGCGAATATCTAATGGAGAGGAGTCAATGATGCCATTGGCAAATTTTCAGAGAGGGTGTATATATAAGTGTAGATCAACCAAATGAACAAAGGATGGTGTATGAAGAATGTTTCGATTCAACCCCAGGGGCCATTTTTACTCCACCTTCAAATCATAACAATATGCGACTTTCATTCATTTTGAAAAGAAGGCGGCGCTCTAAAATATTTAGAGAACCTCTGACTACCGTCATGATCTGTGACTTGTCAGGAACTGAGATCTTATCTCTTTTACGGTCACATCTACATCGCTAAATTGAATATCATACTCTCATTTTTGTCAACCACTAACGGAGATGGATCGGTTTGTTGTGAAAGTGAAAGGACAAAGGGCAACATTCCGAGAAACGCAATCACAAACATTACAAATCGTATACAATAATAATATTACATAAATGTACATGATCCAAAAATCCAACAATAATTATATTTGATTTTAAACTCAACCTCAAATGGGTACTTTTAATCACATTTTTGATATTTAATCATTAAAGGTAGAAAGCACAATCTTAACCAGTAATGATTTAAGTACACGTCTGTCCCTCCCCTATATCTGAGAATCTTCCGTTGCAAGACTGGGAAACATGACAAGCATCAGAGTAACTAAAACGTGACATATGGCTGCGAAGTGCAAAACATAATTCGCTACCATGTATCATTAAACTATCATTAAGCTACACTGGACAAGGTAAAACATACTAATTATCGTGTTATTTTTTCAACTAGAGACAATCTCATTTGAATTCAACGTGTCCATTAACAATGCATTGTATTTTAAATCGGACTTATATTTTTTTGGAGGTAATAAAAATGTGTTTAATTGCAGGTTCTCTGGTATCTATCGAGATGATAAGTTCTGTGCCCCCAGCTTCGACGTCGCCCGGCCTGAACCCCGACCTAAACCCCGTCTGATTAAATTACTGATGATTGACCATTTTGCTATCTTTACAGTATTCTGTTTCGACATTCACAAACTCGAACTCATTCTCCGCCTGTCCAGTTTGCAAGTTTCACTTGTATTTTTAGATATTGACTCTCAAAGTTACAAGTATATAAACGTTAACGTTTGGAATGTACAACTTGATAGAGTTTGATTGTCAGTAAGACAATTCCTGATTGTTATTCCTCCAAAATCTCAATTTCTCTTTTTTGATAAATTGCTTGCAGTGAGAGTCAACTAATTATTTAAAAATGGTGATCACAAATTGTGCTACATAAAATTGTAGCTGATAAAGAATATATCAGACCAGTATTATCCGCTGTCCCCTCTTTCCATTAGGGCTCATTAGACTACCCATAACCATGCTCTCCCCCTTCCCTTTCTTCACACCAATCATATCATCGCCCCTCCCCTAAATCACAGTGTCTCCCCCACCCTACATCCCCTCTTCTCCATTTCTGTCTCATTCCTATACCCCTTTATCCCGTCCCCGGTAGTACCGTGCCATAACGGTGTACTGCTTCGACCATAAGGCAAACAACCCCTTACACCTGGGCGCACCTAACTAACATACAATTACGGCACGCTAAATACCTACAATCCACCCTAAATGATACCCTGGACAGAACCATAATATGTAAACGAGATTTAATAATATATAAAATGCATGCTAAACGAATTTAAGAATGTTCATTTGCAATTACAGGCAGGTTGTAACCCTACGGCATCAATCTTGTAATAACCTCAATTTTAGCTGAACTCTGTCATTTACACCATTTTCATTTACTCATGACATTACTTCTACTTTTGGTTATTTAGCTGTATTACTGATAAAGACTATGTCATTACCAAGTTTCTATTATCCATATGTCATAATTGGGAATTTTGTGTACCTGTTTATGACTTTAAATTTTGGGGAAATTTTCAGTGAACATTTTCAGCTGGATAGATTATTATGTTACGATGTTATATTTTAGACCACTCTATATGTAATGATCTGTTTTTATTTGTTTGTCTATACTGTATGTTTGATTGCCAGATTATTGCTTAGCTTGTTTGTTTGTTTGTTTGTTTGTTTGTTTATTTGATTGTTTGTTTGTTAATTTATTTGCCTGCTCATACCATTGTCTGTTTTGTTTACTTGTCTGTCTATTTGAGAATGTTGAGAATTCAACCATATGATTTAGACAATAAAAACATTCGAAATTAGAAAACAATAAAACATGCGAAATTAGAAAATCGTTGATATTCATCAGCATAAATCTCCTTTGTCAGCAAACAGTTTAAATGACGTTTTTAAGATTCATTAGCATGTATTATTTCAAGAGTATAATAGCTGGAATAGATCATCATACCATGACTTTGGAATTGATCAGTTTGTACAAAGCAATAATCGATGCCATATGGTTGTTAGTTTACGGAATTTTTAAGAACTCATTTTCAAAAAATTAAATCTAAAAAATGATTGATGTCAGGTTTGCGTTTCCACTACACAAAACAGTCTGTTGTTTGCTTTTATGTCGTATGTTAATGCAAAACAATGATTTTTAATTATTAATGTATTATGTGAAAGTGATATTCTAATACCACACCGTTGCTCATATATTTGGAATATTTTAAAGTTTTGCATTGCGCTAAACCTACTTTTAAGCTAAGTCTAATATATTACTTTTTGTGATGTGAATTCATGATTATTTCTACATTTACAATTCTCTAGAACCAGGGGTGGATCTGGGAACCAACAAGGGGGGGGGGGCAAATTTCAGGTCTGAGAAAAAACTTCCACGCTTGCGCGGAAAAAATTTTTGGGCCTCTTAAACCAAAAAGCAGGCCAAAATGTTGAAAATTTGAGGCTCAGTTTCTTCAAAATTTGGCCTAAATTTAAAAAATAAGTCCTTCAAAGGCCCAGTAATGACCAAAAACAAAAAAAGCCCACTTTTTGGGAACTTTATGCCATTTTTGGCCACCCCCCTAGATCCGCCAGTGAGAACAGTGATATACGTCATCGTATTCAACGTAAGCGTCAATTTTGAATGTTTACGAAATACTAATGTTCATGTTACAACTTCATATACATCTTATTGTTTCTAACCGAAATAAAGCTCATTAACAGGACTTTTGGGGGTCTGACACTAGGCCAAAATAGACATATAAATACTGGTTTTGGTGATTTCTTTGGGTAATATTTGAATTATTGTTTTTATCTACTTCATAAATAACATCTCAAGACACCTGATGCAAAACACTTCAAAATAAATCATTTTTAAATCAGGTATAAAAAGAAATACCTATGGTTAAATACAAGCCAAGTCTATTGATAATGCGTGTTAACAAGATTTTTGTATCAAATACGGAGATTTAATTAAAGGGAGAAGTTTCTAAATTCTAGTCGTTAGGGATGACTTTACTTGTAACGAAGAGATGGGAGAAAGCAAGCATACGAGTGCAAAGCCCCTAGGCATCATATTCGCGTAAAATGGTCCGCATTAGGGGTCATCTCATTAAAAATCATAGCTTCATATATAGGTAACCTTGCTTCCATTGTTTATAGGGGTTTGATTTTCGGTGTCGCTCTTTCAGACTTCTTAGATATAATGACGCTCCTCCGCCCCTCCCCCTAAAACCAAGTGTTCAAGCCCTTGACTTGTATTCGACAATTTGAAAGAAACATAATCAATTTTGCAATAAAATTTTGAAAAAAGTTATTTCAACCCTGAGGAGGCTTTAAAAGACTATACAATGAATACAACCATATTATGATATACTTTCATGACACAACCCCTTTAAATGTGTGACCATATCAAAATCGAGGAATAAAATACGACATATGTCAATGTGGTACTTAGCATCAGAGAAGAATGATTAAGAACTAGAATCTCCAATAGTTTTTTATGACCAATTACAAAATTAAAATATCATTATAATGTGTTTTGTAATTAAAGATCCATCGATCGGGTTAAGGGTTTATAAAAAATGCCAACAATCATGAAAATACAGTGGGGGACACGAAGTTCAAAACGTCAATATAAGTAATAGTATATTTCGTCAAGAATTGAAAGTAGACAGAAAAACAGGTTGCGCTTTTGTTAAACCTGTCTTGATGTTATTAAAATCAATTTTCGATCTAATTACAGTTGTCAGAAATCATCCCAGGGTAACATAAGATAGTGCTTTTCACACTTTAAGCGAAATGGTCAATTTGTGTCCAGATTCTAAAGTATCGCATATCGGAGAAACTTAGAATAGAATTATTTATTCAAAATTCAAATCACAACAATACAATAAGAGAAAGTTCGGGTTGTTACACGTCGTTCAGGAAAACATCATTATAATTAGCGCTCTGGTAATTACCGTTGTCCTTTTGTCACTCGCCGTGCAGTCTGCAACTTGGACAACCCAAAAGCATTAGATACAGGGGTCAAAATTAGTCAATATTTTCAATAAAGATTTCTGTTTGAATCCAGGGGGCCGTGGAAACTGGTAATAAAATATGATTCAGTTTTGTCCAAAAGTAAGAAGAAGAGTTTTCACAGTTGGGTATTTGACAGAACTGTAAAAGAAAGGACCGAAGTCAAACAGGGTTGTAACCTACGTGTTGTACTTTTTGGACAACGTAAGTGCAGCTAATTCAATAATTCTTCAATATAAAGTAACAGAGTTATGTGCTGATATCCTGGTTCAAACTTTTATTCTGTACCCAATTTTCAATTAATGATATCATTAGATCTTTTTGATGGATCTAGTTTTGACAGGATATAATTGTCAAAATCAAATCCAACATACAAAAGCCTATACTAGTATACATTTTCAAAATCATGCCAATCGGCAAATTGTCTCGACAAATGTCGACACCAAGTTGCCAAGTTCAGTCTTTAATAAAACCATTGCTTTTGCAATTGATTATAACACCTTTTTAGTTTGATGATGTCATAAGGGAGAAAATCTTCATGTTGTAATACAACAGCCCTTTTAAGGTATTATGCAAGAGATGTAACCGTTTTCTGATGTCATACAAGACAAAGAGTAACATTTTCCTAATGTCATATAAGTATCTGGACCTATGACCAACTAGTTCACAGTCGTCAAGTGTTGAAAAAAAACAAGTTGAATTTGTAAATATTCGTAGATTTTGAAATTCACAAAAGTTGGTCTAAGATTCTGTATTCAATAAACCACATTTTAACTTCTTTCGCCTTTTTCTGTATTTGCTTTGTTAAGAACTAAAAATATTCATGACATAAATCACGGTTCATTAATCATCTATTATTAAGAAATTGTGATCTGTTTTTATACAATAAGAGCTAATGATAATCCGGGAAATCCCTCATTTCGACGGCCAAGCAGATGTCTAGTTTCATAAATCTTAATAAAACGTTTAGATATCGTTGTTTCAATTCAGTCCTGTGGTTTTTCAAAGTATCTAATACACGCCGATACTGGTATATTATTCGCATCATCATAAAATCAAATTGCTCTCTTTGATCAAATGATTATTTATCGACAATTTAAGGTGCAGAAATGTTCAAATTCATTAGAATTGAATTTAAGGACGTCTGTGCCAGATAACATTTAAGAATTATCGTAAAATAGATTCAATACTATTGGATTTAAAAAGAGAAACAACAAAAATGACGAGTGCATTTTTTCGAAACTTACTCTCAACATGTTTCTGGTCTTAAGAGCCCCTTTAAGGCAGATTGTTTGATGGGGAATATAGCATTGATCTATTAGACTTTATAGTAGATCACATTATTCAATGCGAGCGGAGCGAGCCTTTGTATGCGCCTGGTAGCTCTTATTTATTCATATCCATTTACCTATCAATGCGTACTATACTCTCAGAAATCCACCATAGTAAAGATCATTTGAAGCATGGCATCGCCTGATGCTGTAAAAAGGGCAACATATGGGAGCAAGACCCGGGAACAAAGTCTGACCACCGATTTGAGAATTGGATAATATAAATCTGAAACCTGATATAACCCCATCTCAAGTTTATTTACTAGAAAATTAACTCTACATTTGTCTTAATTTATGAATTTTCGAATACAATCGCTTCAACGCCTTTTTACAAAAGGAATGGCGAAATGGATGGCGAAGTGGTTAAAAGTTAATTCGAAAATGCAATTACTAAATTGTAAATAGCTTCAAGGGTGCGATATATGATACGAAAATTGTTAAAACTTTTGTACAAATTAAAAATGGATCATTTGGTAACATTCACACTGCAAGCATTTATATACAATGATTCAACAAAATTTATTTTACATTTTGTTTATCTTTCTTTATTGAAGACATCACTAACATGACATCATTAACATGACATCGCTAATATGACATCATTAACAAAACGCATAACATTTCAATTATTTACAATGATTACAAAAATATATATTATTGTTTAGTTAACAGTCTGAAAGTTTATTTTCCAACGTGAATAGAAGTGTTCATTGTTGGAGGGAATTTGCTGATCAAAGATGCATAACTTGCGGGTGGGATTGAAGTGTCCGTTGGAATACACTGTGCGCATGAACAGGGAATCCCCCAACGTCCAAACGCAACGTGGTGTGACGTAATCGATGTATGCGTAGCGGGTGGAGATGACGTATGCGTTATGTGCGATGGTGACGTATATGCAAGTAGAGGTGACGAGTGAGAACTGGGTGGTGTCACAGGTTGGGTAGCTTTAGCGGTTGCCATTGGTGATGACGTTATTGGATGCGACGTAGGCGTAAAAGCGCCACTCGATGACGTAGTGTCTGTAAGTTTCTTTAAGTTTAATGGGTTTATGGGCTGTACGCCAGTGAGGGCTTTCACTGCTGCCAAAGGATCAAGTCCAGGGTGGCTGTGTAACGCTGGAAGTGCAGGCATCGACGGTAAGAAAGACGCTTGGTTCGCCCCTGGTAAACGATGTGGATTTGGCGTACTTTGATATACATCACTCAAAAGTTTTTTCATTTCGTCCAATGAATTTGACAGCATCAGTATATAGTTTCTCGCGAGAAGGAGTGTGGCTATTTTTGAGAGTTTACGTACTGACGGTCCGTGTGCGTAGGGCATTACTTCACGCAAGCCGTCTAACGCGCTGTTGAGATCATGCATACGTCGACGTTCGCGGCTATTGATCTTTAGTCGTAATTCTTGTAGTTCGTCCTCCGTTAACGTTTCTTTCGCCATGAGTTGACGTTGGCGTTTGCTCAGTTTCCCATAATTAGATTTGGCGTTTTGATAAATCTGTTTCGAATCGTTGGCGTTCATCGGATGACTTCCAGTACTGCTTTCTGATCCGCTTGGTGAAACGGGGCCGTCTTCACATGACGTAACGTCTACGTAATCTGACATTTTCTCCATATCATTAATCTATATCGCCGTTTCACTAATCTGGAAAATTGTTCAAACTGAAGTCTAGGTCCGATTCTCTTCCCTTTAAAACTGACTGCTATTTCTTGTTTGATTCCTGGTCAGAACTTTTACTTTCGTTTATCAAGAGCAATCAGTGATCTGATAGTACATTTGAGCGATGATGGTTTTATACGCGCAGTCTCTGCCGTGTGCCTTTCGTGCATGGGCGGGGCTTCGTCCCCCTTCGGTAGCAACGGAATTCATCGAATCACTTTCCTTCAAAATTAATTACCGTTATGGCTTGAAAGCACGGAGTGACTCGATAAATTGGTTTAAATAAAAGCCTAAAATACAATATTACGGGAGATACAGATTCTTAGTTAGCGTTGACAATCTTAGGCCTAACATACCAGGTAGCTAAAATGGTGTATGCCGTAGGAACAAGACAATTTCTAAAAAAATACTCTGACATTACATGACATATCGAAAAGACGTTGGTCATCCATATTCTCGATATCTTCGCTCGTTGGGCGTGGCCTGTCGACCGTCGTCTGTCATGAGACGGAAAACTGATAGGCTGATCGCCCGTAGAGAAGTTGAATCGCCGCATGGGGAGGACTGCTATGCAACGAGCACTTCGACATATGTCGCTGAAATTAAGTTAAACACCCTAAAGGATGTTCAAAGACTACAAACGTGCCTACAAAATGAAATGGTCGTGTCTGATATTGCACTGGCAAAGTATTAGTTTTTCGACCAACAACTTGAGTCAAAATCAACAAAAATTTGACCAAATCAACCTGCTTTCCATTTAAGTATTTTCATCATCTTAGTTGGATGCAAGCGTTACAGGGAGACAGGACATGGGGTAATGGTGGGGGGGGGGCTAACACAATACAAATATTCTGAATTTGGGATATATCCTGAATAGGATTGTCAATGAAATCATTTCCAGTTTCATTTATTATGCGCCTAATATATTTTGTGTTTTACGCGGTAACCGCAATTCCAAGGGCTGGGGGCACGCAAATTTCCGATTTTCAACATAAGGACATTCCTTCAGATATTAATTTCGATAATCACTTTTTGATTAACACAAAAAGATAATGTTTTATTGTATAATTAGGATTTTTTGAAAAGAAGTTTAATATCTATTGACGACACGCACATTGTCATTCATATACAAGGAAAGGGAAGCAAAATATGTGCCAATTTCTTTAAAAATAGGGACGGGTCATTTAGACGATTAGTAACTGAATTGGCTGAGATACTCAATGGGACAACTTACTATCTTAAAAACCCAGTTGTGCACAAATTAGCCCCAGTAGGATAATCTTGTATTTCGATCATTTGTTGGAATTAGAGTGTCAGGGCATTACGCAATTACGCATTACGCAATTGGAATCATGGCAGATAGATTCAAAAAGTATCAGTTTACTTAATACGTTGATGCAACACACAGACACGTATACCTTTCGCCTTATAAACTCATCACGGCCAGTAAAGAATTAAACATTTAATCGATACGGCAGTACGGTGCCCGCGATGATAAACAGTATATTGACCGCTCCCCGGCCATAAAGATTATGGAATTAGACGAATACCACCCCATCCCCACTCCCCATTGTTCCATCCCCGATCGAGATTTTATTGATGAACGGATAAACACTGATTAATTAAACGTGATTCTATACATTGCTCTTTTATGTAGACAACGGTTATAAAATACAAACGCGTGTACCTGACAAGCTGAGATTAGATGAAACGCACGATACGATTGTTTTCGTATGCATGTGTGTGTTCGCGAACGCGTTTTAAGACCAAAGTCGCATACGAACATCCCGCTAAACACCTATTTTTTACCTGTTTAATGTCAAATAATTCTCTCAAAAAACTATTAACGACAGATATGATCTTTTTACAAGCTGGTCGGTTAAGAACGCGACTGATTATTTGAAGATTAGGCCCATGCAACTCAATTATCATATTAACTGGGATAAAAGGAAATTTCAGACGTATGTAACTTGATAAATTAGCAAAAATTTCAAAACATAAATTACAAAAGTATAGTCGATTATTCTGTTGTTTGAAGAAAATTAAAACGTGATCGATGATAAACTCAATTGAAATTGGTTGATAATCAACAACAAGGCATTTATATATTATATTTTTGAGTTCATGGGCGTAGGGCTATATTTTGAGTTGGTGCGCCCAGTTTGGGATATCTGATTGCGTGACCCAAGGGCGCGCATCTTGAGGGACAGGGTATCTGCTCCCCCAGGGAATCCTTTTTCGACTGAAGACGTTCATTTGATGGAATTTGAGCGTTTTAATCAACTTTAAATAGTTCTATTCTGATAAATATAGCCTACAAATACAGAACCATCAATAGATTTGTACACAAAATAATGCATTTTAACACATTATTTATTTTTTTCAAATTCATTTAATTGGGATGGAATTTGGGAGTTTTTATTTTAATTAATCAACCTTAAATAGTTCTATTCTGAAAAATATAGCCTACAAATGAATACAGAACCATCAGAACAAAATAATGAATTTTAGCACACTATTTTTTTTGCAAATGATACGATAACTGATCTGTGGTGATGCGGTAACGTTATGAGAGTTTATAATGGAGGACCAGTTCACAAAGCAAAACCTGATATATAACAAGTGGGGGCTCACACTATCTCGATCCCCAATTTCAATTAATTAATTAATCGACATCGACACATTTAGCTCCCAATTTTTGATAAGAAAAGTTGCTATCTGGGACGTCTATTGCATGGCATCGTAAGAATTCCAGGGGGTCCTCATGATTTTAAAATAATTTTTAGCTAGGGGGAGGGGTTCATTTAGTACAATTAGAGAACACTTATACATGTAATTGGGAACTAGTCATGATATTTTGGGAAAAAATATGTTACTGAGCACTGAGCAGGAATCGATGCAAATTGGGCCGCCATTGCACGGGGTACCATCGAATAATTTTGGCAACGTACCGGAGAACGACATTTTACTAAGAAATGGCAATAATTTAGCACAATATATTTTTTAACTAGAGTTCTATTTTGATTTTGACAAAAGTAAGTATTCCATGCAATAACTATTTCATTCATGAGTTTGTAGAAATTCTGTTGGAACCCAGTTCTGATCAAGTACGAAGTTATTGAAATCGGCGCAGACGGACTTTACTCCGAAAGATGGTTTTTCGATTATAACTTTTTACAACATTTAAGTATAGACTTTTGAAAAAAGTACAGAATAGTCCTTATACTATTGAATAATTCTGTTATTTCTGATTCACACGACTCTGATTTGTTTACTTAGGAACGTAACCGGAGCTGGGAACGTAACCGGAGCAGATCAGTTGAATTATATAATTTAAAAAAATAGAATATATGATTTAAAGCATATATATTATTTACAAACACATATGTCAGCTTATTTGGTGTGATATAATTATAGAACACTGTCTATTAACGACTGGAAAGCAATGTTCTGTAGTTTAACTAGAAAAAATCATTCACTTTCTTACTTGCTTAATGACCCACGCCTAGGTTTATCGAAACAAAGATGGATAACAATTGGTTTTGCATAAAACAATAAACGGGCACTCACTCAAACATCTTACGTTTATATGGAGGGGGGGTTAGGTGAAGAATTTCAGAAAGCATATGTTGATTCGATTTGGTCGAGCACATGACAAGTACTTAACACACCTACGCTATATACAGTTCGTTGTATCCTAACTTTTTTAATAATCTAGCATTTAAATGCTTTTATTTCCCCTAAAAAAGAGAAGTTGTCTTTGAAGTATAATACATGTATGTATAAACAGTATATATATACGAAATTAGTATAACAGAGTGGGTTCTAATAGTTCGCTGAACAAATACAATGGGTGAAATCAAATGGAATTATTTGCTTACTACATTTAATCACTTCATTCTCCATACAATGATTGTTCTATGTTTGATAGCCTTTCTAAGGTAAGAGCACTTATGCATGGTAAATACCAAATTTACTTTTTCACAATGGATACATTTTTTTTCTTTAAATAAAATGTAATAAATACGCATTCGAACAATCCCGTATGTTTTTAAATTAGTGTATGTGCTTTAAATCATATATTTTAATTTTTTTTGATTAAATAATTCAACTGATCTGCTCCGGTTACGTTCCCAGCTCCGGTTACGTTCCTAAGTAATATTTTTAAAACTTTTTTTTAATTAAACAAATCAGAGTCGTGTGAATCAGAAATAACAGAATTATTCAAAAGTATAAGGACTATTCTGTACTTTTTTCAAAAGTCTATACTTAAATGTTGTGAAAAGTTATAATCGAAAAACCATCTTTCGGAGTAAAGTCCGTCTGCGCCGATTGCAATAACTTCGTACTTGATCAGAACTGGGTTCCAACAGAATTCCTACAAACTCATGAATGAAATAGTTATTGCATGGAATACTTACTTTTGTCAAAATCAAAATAGAACTCTAGTTAAAAAATATATGATTGTGCTAAATTATTGCCATTTCTTAGTAAAATGTCGTTCTCCGGTACGTTGCCAAAATTATTCGATGGTTCCCCGTGCATTGGCATTCCCAGGGTTTAAAAAAGAAAGTACTTTTGTACATACAAATCGCAGAACTTGGTACCAATACAACTTGGAAAATAATCACATTATTCGTTAACTTATATGGCTAGCCAAAGTTGAGGCGTGTCATTGGAAAGCTAAGGAATGGGATTGCCGTTTTATAAATTCATCTTTCAAAAAGATTGAAAGGGGTCTTTACCCGGTGGTCTTTACACCCCAGTCACATTTGTCGTACGGAGGCCGTGCGTCGACCGCAGATCAATTAAATCAGTGTATTTCTGCGGCGAGCGTAGGAAAACTACGCTCGCCTTGCGGCCTCCGTGCGGCGTATCCAGTTTTTTACAGGCCGCATGGTCGCCGTAGAAATTATAACTCGGAGTTATAATATTTGTTCATTTCTGAGGTCCCCGTAGAAATCAACTGGCTCAACAAGATTGAATCATTATTTGTCAATGTTTCACGATCACTTTTCATTTGATATCACATCCAAACACTATGAATAACATTTATAAATTGTCCCGATGTAAATAAAATGAAAAAAGTATTATTTATCAACAGAAATTTAAAATTCACCGTGCGGCTGCCGTTGGAAATGTGACTGCAAAAGTATGAGAGCGCAGAAATTCCACGGCGAGCGTAGAAATGTTACTGGCCGCAGAAATGATAGACCGCAAGGTCGCCGTAGGAAATGTGACTGGGGTGTTACCTTTAAATTACAAAACGCTACAACGGACTTGGCTATTGATGAAAGGTACAAATAACCATGGGCTTTCATTGAAAGCCCCCATGAAATAACGAAATCCCCAGGGCAAAAATTTTGAAAAGATTTGAATAATAGGCTAACATCTAATGATTCTTGATGATTTGGCCTAAAAATATAAAATATGATGGCCCACTTTTTTTCTGGGCCCGGGCCGCTGCCCTCTCAGATCCGCCAGTGGATTTCAAAATTTGTCAAAAGCAGAGTGGAGGGGGGTGGACCAGTCGCACCCCGACCCCATTCAAACGCCCTATCACTCGATGAGGAGAATCTGAGACTAGACTACAGACATAAAATTCATATGATGGTCTCAGGGAGAATATAGGCCTATGCATATCTCAGTAATATGACAGAGGGGTGAGGGTTAAGTCGGAAGGAATGAACCCCGGCTATATACAGTCTTAATTATGTGTTACGATTGTATCTTGTTTCCCGGGGATTCACCAATCTAATACTCCAAACGAAACGATCACTTATTATAGAAGAATGATTCTGATTGGTCAAATTAAAATTTTGATCCAATGAAATTGGATGTATCATATGTCGTTGGACGGAATTTTCTTTTTCTGTATTTGAGTAAAAATGCCAGTAAAATGTGGACTTTGCGACAAAAGTGCAATATTGAAGCGGCCAAAAACGGTAAGATTAAACTTATTCCATAGCAAAGATATATAGGTTATTTTTTTAAGCGTAAATAATCAAGGATTACCGTACAAAACAGGCTATCAAACTTCCACATTTCAATTTTCACATATTATCGCCCAATGCGGAAAATGTTCGACTGATTTCATCACCCAATCATTCAATATTGTATTTTGTCCATCGCATCACCATGTTGTATCTGTGTCTAATTATAAGGGTCTTCCCACCCAATAATATGATAAACAAATTCTGAGATATCGCCCATCAAAATCAATAAATTTCAATCATTTTTTTCTACAGCCCATTTTATTGTTATCATTGCGTCAGTAAAACCAAAAATAAGAAATCAAAAGACCATAGTGCAATCATAAATGGAAAATATATTCCTATTGTACATAAATGCCATTTGTTTTATCTTGGACTGAATCCTTCTTCTGAATAAATTCAGACTGTACTGTAAGTCTCCTATTAGTATGTATCCAACAGACTGACTAGAAGTCAGTCTGTTATGATGTACTACTTTCCTGTGGAAATTGCAGTGAAATTTTTTGCACAAAATTATCAATTGGAGGAAACATTTTTCCAATAAAATAAACATTACAAAATTTCAAGTAAATAGTAAGGTACAATTAAATGCAATAAAAAGTAACACAGCATATTGTCTAGTGGAAATAAAGCTAGTTGAAGTAAAAATGTGCAAATTAATTTTACCCAATCGGCCATTTTGAATGGCACTTCCTATGTAAACAAATATTTGGAATTACCAAACTTTAACATAGTCTGAATATAATTCAGACTAAATAGGATATAGTCTAAGTCTCCTATTGTAAAATGTGATGTTGTAAATGTTACAAATGAGTTTGTATAATGATAAAATGATTACTTTTTCAAGAACTTACAATATTATTTTTACGTATATTGTCCTTTTAATGAAGATATTCATAAAATATATAGACGGTTCTTGTAGCGAAGGCATTGATTAGGTCAAGCCATTTTGGAAATTCCAATTCTCAAGATAAACGAGATTTAACTAGTGACGTCATTCTATTTGTAAACAGAAAACACGTAGAGCGGGCGGAGCAAGCGGAAGCGTATTTATAAATTCAATTTGTGCGGGAATTTGTGCCTCTGTGTATATCATATTACAATTCTCTTAATTCAGTGTTGGCTGTTAGTCATTTATTATTAATATCCTGATCAATTTTTGTCATTTATAGTAAATAGAGCGGGACTATTCCTGAAGAAGGCCGAGCTAGTTAGTTAGTTATTTTGAATAAGATTAACATGGCTGAAATTCTTTGAATTACAAGAGGGCACAGGCTTTTTGCACAAAAAACTAAATAATCTGAAATATACAAATGTCATTCATGGTTCTATGAATATACTGTTCCATATGTTATTGCAAAATGGTCTCCTGATTTCTTATATTTTGAGGTTCTACTGACGCAATAAAACAGTGAAATGGGCTATAGTATACTTTAGGATAGGATGGACAGATTTTCTGAACTGAGTCATCTTTGCCCGAACTTGGCACACTGTAAGGTCCAACTGAGCATGCCAACCAGTTTAAAGTGGCTCTAATAGGGTTCCAAATGGTAGTGAAAACTGGTGCCGGTATTACCGCAATTCAATACCTTACTGTTACCAAATACCGCAATTTTGGGTCTACATATAGAATTCATACATTTCTGTGACTAAGTTTAGATTTTGCCAAATTTTTTGGTGGTGAATTTGGTCCCTTTCATACAAATGCAGTTTATGAGTCATGATTTATCAATGTCTTACCTGATTATCGATAATGCCTGCATTGAATTAAGACATCTACAGCCAGCTATTTAACATAGTCATTCCTCAAATTGAAAAAAATGAAAAATATTTTCATTTTTTGACAAGTTCTTCCACTCGCCAGGTGGCACCCTTTACTCTTCAAAAAGGAGGCAAAAACAAAATGTAAATATTGCCGATGTGAAAAGATTACTATTCTTCACTTTTTATCGATGGTAAAACACTTAATCTTGCGATCTCTGGTAAGTTAATTAATTGATTCTTTAGATATTCATGTATCCGGTATTGGAATTTCAGTACTGACATTAGGCCAGAATGCCACTGTAACGGTACTTCCGGCAATACCGCAGATCACTACTGGAGAGGTCATAGTCATTGAAGGTTATTTACAAGCATTAAGGTTAGGGTGCATGTTCAGAATTTTGCTGCAACCCTCAATAGGGTCATATGTTATTTTCCAAATTTAAATCACTCCTTCCCCCCAATGTCTACATCTCTCACTTTTGCACAACGAGTGCACTAAAATGTACCTAGAAAAGAATGCAGAAAAGAATGTTTTGATAATATGTATAAAAAACAAGAAAATTCAGTGAAAAAATTCAGAATTTTTTTATACATTTTACAAAACAGATCTTCTCAGTCTTTTCAAGGCACAAAATTGCACTCACTGGAAGATGTAGACAATTTGGGGAAGGAGTGGTTCATGTTTGAAAAAGTAACATGTGAATCAATTGAGGAATGCAGCAAAATTCTGTACATGCACCATGGCCTTAAAAATCAAGCTCAAAGCAGAATTTGAAATAAATGAAATTGGTTATGCACAGACACTTTTTACATATCGGTTTTATAAGAGATGGTTTTAGAGATAAAAAATTCAGTCAGAATTTACTAAGACCTGCCTGAAAATGAAACAAATGTTTGCTCTATTCCACACAATTTAGAATTAGTACCTGTAAGTATAATCATTGCATGGAAAACACTTTGTGTACTGCTTATTAGAGTTTTTGATTATTATTTGGGATCAGTTTGCAGGGGAGGTGGTTGGGCAGGCCGAAACCTTGTCTTCAGCTTTCCAGCCAAACCGTTTTGTGGATTCATCTGAAAATTTTTGGAATATTTAAACATATTAAAGTTTAGAACTGACTGAATCACAGCAAACACCAGAAATATTGTTGTCATGAAACAATCTGATTCTGAATTATAATCTAAATATTCCAATTATTCATGATTTTCTCATTTTCAAGTGGGTGCAAACAGATTTTCAGGTGGGTGCTTGCTTATTTTCAAAATCTCAGGTGGGTGCTGCGCCCACTTGCTTTAATGCTGTGGAGAACACTGCATGTGTAAATTTCAATTGACTGATGAACAAACTCCTAATATTTTTTTGGCATTTTAGACAGCTTTTAATGTCGATTCATAATAATGCATCATGGTATTACCATTATTTTAGTAATTCCGCGGCGTGGACGGAATTTGACAAAACTTAAATTTTTTGCAGAATCCCTGATTTTCATGAAAATCCCGCGGAATTACCAGAATTTCCAGAATTTTACATATTTTACGATCTCCTACCTTTGCGGGGTATTTGAAGAGTGTCTGTTTATGTCCAACAATCAATCATTATTGAGTACAAGTAACGATTTCACCGTGAAATTCAACATTCTATTACGTTTAAATTCGCTAAAGGGAGTTCGCTAATGACGCGCAGTTCTTACCTAGAAAGTAGCTGACTTCCGTTTCCGTTGCTACGTCAATTTTCATCGTTTTAAAAGATTGCAGAATGTGGACTTTTTTTGAAAATTTGTGCAGAATTTCGATTTTCTCCTTGCAGAATTTGCTTTTTTTCTTGCAGAATTTTTTGCAGAATTTTTATTTTTTTTCATGCAGAAAACTAGTATCTGTGATTAAGATAGGTGGAACATGAGGCACATGAAGAAGGTCAAAAGAGTGTCAGAATTAGAATAAAAGGTAAAGAATAAGGTTTTCATTGGGATTTCAAATATCAACATAACGAATCACATTATTTATTTATCTTTTACTTTTCACGGTACTTTTACCGATTGGTACGAAATCAAATGTACGCGATACCGGTATTGAAATTTGGTGCCACTCGCAGCACTAATTCATAAGTATGAGTATGGAAAGATCTTTCCAAGCTGAACAGTAGAAAATGTGAGTCCTTTACTAAGACCTCCAACCCAGTTTTTGAAGTTATAATTCTAAAGTTAAATTCATGTGCATTTCAATTCAAATTTTGAATAATTTAATCCTTTTTTAACGTCTTTGCACATGAATTACTGTTAATTAAATGTTTCCCCGAATCTCAGGTGTCAAAAGCACTGTTATTGTCGTAAAATTATTATAGGAAATTCAAATCATTTTCTGTATCACATTTCAAATAAAGCATATATAAGCTCACAAAAGTGAAATACCTGCTGAGTTAAAAATTGATAAAAATTCATTTTACCTCTTTTTAAATTTATTTGGATTTAAGTGGAGCATTTGATTTGTTTTGACCTGGGATGGTGTTTGACAGGGTATTGTACTTTTCACCTATTTATTCATGGAAAATTAAAAAATCTTATTGTTGTATTTTTATACTATCTAAATATTGACACTTTAAATGGACACTAGAGATAAAAGTTGAGGTGGCAACAAGATGTCCAATGAATAAAGTTTCATTTTGATCTTTTTTTATATATGTAAAATGTTGTGTAAAAGTATGATATTCTCAAGAAAAAGGGCAAACAAACAAATTGAAATCATTCTGAATGCTTAGATACTAATAAGTTGTTTAATTTTAGTGTGAAATGTGACTTATATCCTGATCTGAATGAATTTTAAATGTTGGATATGTCAGTGGAGAAACCTTGTCAAATTAGTATCAAGTTTTAATTGAATGGCATTTGGATTTTATCACCAACTTTTGAAACTCTAACATTTTGCTGAAACATTTTTGATAAATGTGCAACCTGAAACGTTTATTTTTTCAATAAACTTAATTTTGACATGTCATGTTGTTTTGAAGACATATCTTATTGTAGTTATCACACCAGAAAATCAAATACGAAATTTCAAAGAAATCATTACAGGTTAAACCAACAGCAGGGAACATTTTCGGTTTCTTTTTTTACCAGAATAACTGAATAACCTCTTGTTTTAAGGAGTTTTGCAACTGTTTGTATGACCAAATTTTAATTTTCAACAATTTT